CCCCGATTTTTCTGGGTCTATTTGTAGTGGAAACGGTTGCAATATCGTATTAATTCTGAGCGTCTTTGAGAAAGAGCAAGTCTGAATTAGATTTTTGTAGTAAAAAAATTGAATATTCGAGTAGGACTTCGCCCCTTTCCAGGCGTCTTAAAGCTTCAGTGAACCATGTGAGCAAAACGGTTGGAAAAATCCCATCAATGTTAAGAACTATCTTTTACTAATTGGGTTTTATGTAAAATTCCTAACCTCGAAAGAGATAGAAGCAAAAATATCATAATCAACGTTTAAAGTCTTCAAATCTCAGAAACGGTAGAAAATATCCAATTACTCGTAATGAGTTTTTCGATAACCAGTACTACTTTACTACTACCAGTACTTTAAGGAGAATATTTTACTGCTTGGGTCTCGTACGAAATTCTTAACCTCTAAAGAAATAGAAGCAAAAATAGGACCGTTGACATTTACAACATACATTCTTGTCCCATTCCATTAATATTTTGCAAATGGTTGAAATTTGCTAGATAACCACCCCGATATTTTTGATTGAGCATTTCCAGAGCTGTCGTTTCATCTTTTCCTTTATAAGAATAATTTCCTAACCTCTAAAGAGATAGAAAGAAAAATTGATAGAAAACAGCTTATATCTCTGAAACGGTCAAAAATATCTCAACAGTCCTTTGAACCGTTTCGATAGGGTCTTATAAAGCTATATTCTCCTTCTTAGAGATGTAGCGACATTTCTAACCTCCAAAAGATAGACGCAAAATTTGACGAATTTTTGTACATTCTCATTTATAGCTCAAAAAGGGCTGAAACTATCTGAATAGTGATTAGAGCTAGTTCGATAGAGAATGCCAAGAGCTCTCCTTTGCTCATTAATGTATATCGGAAATTCCTAACCTCTAAAGCGATAGAAGCAAATTTAGTTTACCAAAAATCCAATACAAAACCGCTTTATTCGTAGGTTCAAATCAATGAAAACGACAACTTGGTGATCGCCCGAATACTGGAAGGAGGAATGATCGAAAAACAGGGACTGTTGCACATTGGGGACGTTATTTTGGAGGTGAACGGCAATCAGGTGAGGACGCCTGAAGACCTGCAGGTGGAGGTGGCAAAGAGCAAAGATTCGGTCACTCTTAAAGTGGGCAACGTGCAGAGCAGCGAAACCCACGAGTCGATTGTGATGAATGGAGTAAACGGAGTCACCAAAAAACTCACTGTGAGTGTCGTTGTCGCCCTACTTAGAAGAGTCGGCACAGATACAATTTAATTTTCCTTTTATTAGTGTTACATGAGAACGTTATATGAGTATAACCCAGAAGAGGACAGTTTACTCCCATGCAAGGAGATCGGGCTTCGCTTTGATCGAGGAGACATTTTGCAGATAGTGGATCAAAGAGACCCCAACTGGTGGCAGGCGAAAAAAGTCGGAGGAGACAACAAAACCGGATTAATTCCCTCGCTGGAGCTGGAAGAGCGACGCAAAGCTTATGTGGCTCCAGAAAACGACTTTGTACATAAAATTAGCATATGCGGTAAGTGACTAGAAGCTCACTGGTTTCTCTATTATTATTATTATTATTATTATTATGCAATGGCTGAATAGGCGCAAGGATTTCGAGGAAAAAGAAAAAAATCAACTACCAGTCCAAGAGCAATTGCGACTTCGATAAGGCTGAACTTCTGCTGTATGAAGAAGTCACCAGGATGCCGCCATTCAAGAGGAAAACGCTGGTTTTGATCGGAACTCAAGGCGTCGGCAGACGCACTTTGAAAAACAGACTGATTAATAGTGATCCCGAAAAGTTTGCTGGAGTTATCCCGTGTAAGTGGACTAATTGTTCCTTTTTCTCTCGAAAATAATCAGGAAACACTAAGGGTTTTGAAGCCTCTTAATAAGCATTTTTTAGCGTTTTTGTGGTCGCTTTATCACTCTGTGCGTGGAATAGAGGGAGGCTCCAAATAATTACATAATCGAACAGGAAATTACATTTTTGATGATTTTGAGATTTTATGCTTAAAAAACTGCGACTATCTTCATCCCAAAACCGAAGTTTTTAACGAGACTCCGGCTTGTAGAAAGCTAAGTTGATTCTCTCAGATTTAGATCAGAAAACGCCGGAGCCTTTCATAACGTGCATGGAAAACGGTTAAAAATGTATCAAAACATGAGTTTCCCTACATTTATTTCTGCGTAGAAAGAAAAGGAAAAGGAAAACTCTATTTGCAAATCCAAAACTCCCTAGGAAAGAATGAAATGTTAGAAAAATCAGTACCTGAATGATAAAATGAAATATAAATAATACAAGGATGCAAGATAAACCTTGTAAGTAATTAGTCAATTAAAATATGTTTTAAATTTACTTAGCATTTGCAAAAAAATTCTCTTTATAAAATCCGCACAAATCGCAAGTTAACATTTGCAAAAACCGCATTATAAACTCCGCAAAGTTTTCCTTGTTTTGCGTTAATTAACTTAGGTTTTTACGCAATATTGAATTAAACATCGGAACAAAGACCAACTGGTGTTTTCAAGAAACATTTCCCAGATTTTGCAGTTGCAAATTTGTCTTACATAGTTTGTGTGCAAGATTTTTTAAAATGTTCCTCAAAGTTTAAAGCTTATGAAAAATCGGAGGGTTTTTTAATACTAGAGCAAATTGGTACCAAATCTGCCGCAAACCTTTGTCCATATTGAGTATGAGTTTCAATCGACTGGGCTTAATAGTGTTGAAGTTATGCACTTTATTGCTCCGACTTGCCAGGTTAAAGATTTTTCTATTTTAAACTGAGTTCGGTTGCTTCGAAAAATTCTATGAATGCTTCTGTATTAGTGAAAGTTTCTATAAATGTACCCCAAATATTCGTTTATATTGTGTGCGACTTTCATTGGGTTGAATTTACAATACAGCCCTGTTAAGCTTAAATGCTTATGAAAAATAGATTAACACTCGGATTTTAGTGATGACTTGG